AGTAAAGTGGCCAACTACGCTAAGGTATCAGACACACTAAAATATTTATTGATGAAGACAGTCCTTCGTCACTTTTGCAACGCCGACTGACTTATAACTATCATTACTTAAGAGTTACATTTGTCACACGTTTACTTTTAGCAGTTTGGAACTATTTGACAAATGTTGCCATCCGCGTCTCAATATCTTAAAATGTAAGCACAGTAAACCTTAGATCCCTTCCTAAAACTTTTTCTTTAAGCCCAATTTCAAGCTGGACATAGTAAGACTTCGGTTATCGACAGATTTCAAAAGAAAGTGAGAAAGAGACGGGCATTCCAATATACGCCAATTTTACGTATCAATCCTGTGTTCATCAGTTACAGAAAAAACCTTTTTAAAAATACAAAGAAATTTAGCGTTTTAAATGTAATACCAAATATTTGGTAAATAATTTAGGCAACTTTACACAAGAGAAGAACTATATTATGAATTGTAAAACTACAAAAATTTTGTATAAACACACGTTCAAAATGCTAAAACTCATAAAATTACTATTAAGTAAAGGTCAGGCAACACTGAATCAGAAGAATAAGAAACAAACGAAGAACATGAGAAGTTTTCAAATTGCAACCTGTTTCTTCCCTTCATCATGTCAGAAATGCACTAGCTCAGAAACCTGGACTTTCCTAAACACCATACCTTTCCCAACAGACACTGGAATTAAAATCCCCTTTCTAGAAGATGCAAAAGATGAAAGACAACTCTAACAAGCAATAAAACTTAGTAAGTCAAGAAGTCACAAACTGAAGTTATGCATATTAATTTATTCTTTTCAAAAAGTATTAAAACAGAAAAAAATATGCCTTTTTTTAGCTTTCTTAAAAGTTAAAAATTAGAAAAAAAACTAAACCATATAAAAGGTTTGAGTAACCATAAGAGCAAGAGCTTCATTTGCCAGTTCTCCTACAGTTTCTCCCATAATATAGTCTTTGATTATCCCAAAAAATAATCCAGTTGCTACAAAAAATTTTTGCCTTCCATGCAAACCATGTTTTCTGTAGCCACATAGAGTTGAACATAAGAGCAGCAAGACTGTCGGTATTATTCTTCTGCAAATTTTGATGTTAAACAATAACTGTTTGCTGACAACCGTTATGGCATAACTATCAAACTCTACAATTTACTTATACTTCTTCCGTTACTCTATGCCTCGCTGTATTTCCTTTATAAAAACAAAAAAATTTAAAAGCTTATATTAACAAGTTTTAATTGCTGTCAATTTATCACTGTACGCATTATATTCAAGTATTTTTACTCTTTTTTGTTGACAACGAAAATTGGTTAGATATCGGAGGCTGAAATTAAGAACAAATAGAGCAAATATTTGTAAAAATTTTAAATCGTTTTCTTCAAGCTTAAACGAAACTAAGGCCTGCTTCACAGTACGTATTTTCAAGACCTAGCATTCTTTCCAATTAAAGTTAACAGTTCAACAAGGATTAAGAATTAAAAGCAAATAATTATAGCAAACCAGTGTTTGAAAAACCCGCAAGAAATGCTCAGATAAATCAATTTATGTAAGTTAACAGCAAAAAGAATAAGATCATTGACGCATCTTCTCTTTTTTGACTTTATTTGTCAATTTTTCGTAAGCCTAAAGTCACTTCGTCACAGCTTCACATTAAAAAGCCAATTTCAAAATTTTAAATAATTATTTACGTTAAAAATATACAAAAAATAGAATTATTATTAAGGGAAAATAAGTATTTAGAAATAATGAAAAATTCAACAAATAAAAATGCGTAAAAGAGTAAAATTAGAAACGAACAGTACTTCGTGGCTTTATTTTGTTTTTTTTTGGTTTTTTTTTTTCATTAATTCCAACTGAACTACCGTACATTATACCAGTTAAACGTTTCCATTGGTCTTTAGTGTTATGAACTTTCAAATTCTCTCAAATTTTATCTGCAAACCTTGAATACTGACCAGTTTCTTTTTTCTCACGTAATCTCCAACAGCTTTCCATAATATTTCATTTTCCATAAGCCAGTCCTACCCAAATGCATGGTCTTGCAAACTGTTTGCTCAAATGTTTTTTTTCCAACCTAACCTTTTAAGCGAAAAACTAAGTCTATTTCTTTTCAACCTTACAAGAGCCGATTGTTCGGTTGCAAACAACTGTTTGATATGTATGACCCACACCAAAAAATCAAGCATTTAACAAATGTTTTAAGCAGACGATTTTGACTGAAAAAACTGAAAATAAAAGGAGTGAGATTTGAAACAGTCGATGATTATATGACCGACAAAGTAAAAAACGGTAATTTCTATTTCGGTAATTCCTCATCAGAATTAGTTAATGACCAGGTAATTTCTGTTCAAACAAAAAAACCTTCAAATTTTCGCTAATAGTACACTGGAAGCTTTCACCAATTACTAGCACGTATTTTTTCCCTATCAGGCCACTGTTTAAAAACAGAAGCTGCTGCGTTTTGCTTAGTTCTATTCTACCTAGTCCTGTAGCTTTATTATTTCTGCCCCCGCTGTGCATTATTTGATTTAGTTTTCCCTAAACTTTTGCTAAAGCATGTAGCTTTTTATTTCGTTCTAAAAACATAGCTGCCCCAAATGGTATTACAAAGAACACTAAAGTTATATAGAGTGGCAGTTTGGAGAAGTGACTGAAATAAACTGTTGTAAAAATCACTATTTTAACTAAAGTTCAAAAGTTTTCTCCGCGGACAGTGCTTCGATTGTGATACTGCTAACAGTATAAAAAAAAGTAAACTTCAATAAACTATCTATCTGTAATAACAGTTTCATAAACAAGAACAACAAAAGGCTAACGAAATTTTATGATATTTGGTGTCGATTAAAACATCGCCAGTCCAGTGACATAAGTTTAACACTGAAACCAAATACAGCAAAGAAATAGTTCCTGATCTCATTCCAGTTTGATTGTACTTCAAAAATAAATCTATAATTATTTCAGTCAACTGTAAAAACAAAAATTTTCATCGTTTCAACAGGAACTCTGCCGACAATATAATGAAAGTGACTAGCGGACCAACAAACAGTTAGAATACTAAAATAAAAAAGAAACTTTAATTTTAGTATAATATAGCTAAATAGTACAAAAAAAAAAAAA